TAATTTACTTAAAAATATTTTTTAAAAACTTTCAATTAAAGAAAGAAGAATTAGAAAAGAAGTGCAAAAATGAAAAGAGCAGAAACAATGAAAGTTGAAACTGCACCACATTGATACATAATTCCAACTGAACATTTATCACATTCCCATGCTTTATCATGAGAAATTCTTTCATCATCTTTCATCTTGTCATTTGGATATTTGTCAATGTACATAACATTATCTTCTTCTTTATATCTGCAATAAGATCCATCATTGTCACATTTATACTTTCTTTTGGTAACATAAATTCTTGGAGTATCATCTCTATGTGAACAATCTGAATCATCTACAACTACACTATAGAATCCAGTATGTCTTGGTGATCGTTTAATTTCAACACTACATTGTTCATCATCTCCAGAACCTGAACAAAGAAGTTTCTTGATTTTTTCATCATTAAGATCAGCAGTAACACTAGCTGTAACTGATCCAGAACAATCATTAGTAGCTAAATATGTTGTACAAGTTACAGAATCACCATCATGTGTGAAATACATAGAGGTCAATGCACCTGTCATATAACACTTTTCAAATTCAAATTTAGTGAATGTAACAGTGTTTCCATCTTCATCCTTAGTAAATGTACTAACTAAGTCTTTTGAGAAAGCAAATGAAATGAATAAGAGTAATAAAGCTGTGTTCATTGAATGATGAAAAGATTGTTTGAGGTGTTTAAATAGTGAAAATAATAGGAAATTATTATCACAGACTCACTACAAATTCAAATGGTTCTAAATAAAGACTTTTTTTCAAAAAGCATTTAAATTAAACTATATTTAAATTATTTTTTTAATTTCTCTTTCAACGTTACTAATTATCTAATTCTTCTTTTAAACACACTCCAATTTCACTTTTATTTTACTCAAATTTACTTTTTTTTTAAATTATTTTTCTTTTTTTACGAACAAAATGATAAAAAAAGTATTAAATTTGCAAACAATTTTTTAGTACGAACGTTGTTCTAACTTTGTATATTTTTTAAGAAAATATTATTAATTAAATATTATTAACCTACTTCCTTTTATTTTTATAAAAACCTTAAAATACAATTAATTAATATTATCAATTTCCTTTATAAAGAGTATATTTATTGGAGTGTGAATTAATAATTAAATTTAATAAACATATTATATTATTGTAGGAAATTGAATTATTATAATATTAAATTGTTAAACAATAATTTTTTTTACAACCATTTTAATTTCTTTTTAATTATATTATTTTTATTTACATTTTAATTGGTAATAAGATATGAGAAATACCTCACACAATGGTATTTCATTTTGAATTTTATATTTAATTTTATTAAATGTAAAAAAGAGAGAAATTAAGTGGACATATCTACAATTGATTTTTCTTCATATTGACAAGTGAATATTTTAATTTCTTCAATACTCTCTATTTCTATTAATAGTAGTTATGTTCTACTTTAAAAACAACTAAATAAAAGAAATAGAAAAAGAAAATTCTGTTACTTTTATACCCTTTTTAAGCGAATGGTGGGTTTAACATTATAACTTCTTCTCCATGATACAATGGTGGGTCAAGAAGAAATATAAAATAATCACAGTCAATGTCTATTATCTTCTTGACTCTAGCTGAGTAGAGTATTTCCTGACATTTTATGTGTACTTTAGTTTGTAACAGAAACAACAATTTTAACACATTTAAAGCATTAAATAAATCTCCACGAGGTAACATTATTTGTTTTGTCAAAAGAATAATTCCTCGTTTAGTGAAGTCGCAATCCCATATTGGAACATTGACATAATTATCGGAAGGTTTAAGGTGTTTTTGATGTTCAGGGATATTACAGAAAGCTTCTGTAAAATAATCAAAACCTTCAGTCAAAAAGCCGTCTTGTTGTTGCATTAAAACTAATATTATTATTTTTGAGTTGTTTCAGAAAATTCCTTTTAAGAGTTGTTTGTTAAACATTTTTTAGCACAAGTATTTTCTATTTGCTCTTTTCATGTCTAATTTGAAATAGATAAAAGAATAATATTAGTTAATTAAGTGTTAATGGAATTGGTTTTTATACTTCATTACTCAGTGGAGAATAATCCATCCCTGAGCTGTTTTTTTAAAGAATAATCTTTTT